TACAAACCAGGGTCTTGAAACAGTTTCGCAACGGACATTCCGGCATCAACCTTAATGAGGGCTCTCGCTCGCAGTTATGTATACTGGCATCACATGGCCCAACAACTGGAACAGCTGGCCCGTTAATGCACTAAATGCGCTCTCGCATCAAAGGCACTAACAAAGACCACACTGAAGGCATGGCCTGTTCCACAAGCCCCATGGTTCAGGGTCCACATCGATTATGCTGGACCGCTCAATTGCCAGAACTTTCTTATCCTCGTTGACTCTTAAAGCTAATGGTCTGAAGCCATCCTCATGGAACCTACGACAGCCGGGGCGACAATCAACACTCTCCAGCGACTGTTAAGTAGATTCGATTGTCCCGAAACCTTAGTGAGCGATAATAGGCGGCAGTTCACATCAGTCGCCTTCGTCTAATTCTGCAAGCAGTCCGGCATTAACCACGTGCGTTCAACCGTATCACCCGCAGTCCAACGGACAGATTGAGCGATTCGTCGACACCTTCAAGCGGGCTCTCCAGAAGTCAAAAGGGGAGAGGACGACGGAGGAAGTTCTCGAACTATTCTTGCTGAACTATCGAGCCACCCGAACCCTAACACCCCAAACGGTGTCCCCCTGCAGAAGCTTTGATGCAGAGAAAACTTCGCACACCATTTGACGTTATTCGTCCGCTGTCATCTGTCGGGGTTGTTGATGAATCAGCCCGTCCGACATCAATGGAAAGGCAACTCAGCCGTCGCCGCGGTGCAAAGCACCGATTGTTCCACCCGGGCCAGGTGGTGCTGACAAAGGATTACAGGAGTAATCGGGAAAAGTGGACACTTGGACGTGTTCACTGAAAGTGTGGTGACGTCGTCTACGAGTTTCAGGTCGGCAAAGACATTTGGGTACGCCACGCCAATCAGCTGAGACATATTGAATGTACTGTGTGCCAAATCCAAGCCCAAACTTATCTATGGAACTACTACTTGCCACATTCGATTTGCCAAAACCAAGGCAAGAAACCATATTTCCAGTAGCGAACCGGTCTTCGCAACCCTCTAGCCGATCAGGCCAAAAAAGAACGCAAACGGTTCCGTTTTGGCTCGAAGGGGAGTGTTAGGGCCCAAGTTAATCGCGTGCATACACAGCCCAGACGAGTCCTTCTCACGCCATAAAACCGGTCTACAACAACCTCTCAGAACCCTTCGCTATTCGGTCAGGCGTTTGGCAAGGCTCTGTCCAGTCGCCCATCCTCTTTAACTACGTCCTTGACTGGGTTCTCGGGAAGGCCCTACATATACGCTTGAAAGCCAAACTGTTTTCAAGCTGCATCCCTGCCGAGGAGAAGGCACCTGTCGAGATTAGTGGCTGTGAAATTGAAGAAGTTGGCAGTTTAAAATACCTCGCAGCGAGGTTGCTACCGAAG